GAGAAAGACATCCGACATCCTGCAGGAGCAAATATACAAATGTTCAGATAATGGGTGGATTGATGAACATCTATTCTTTGAATGGCTGCAACACTTTGCCATGTATTCCAAGCCATCGTCACAGGCGCCTGTTTTATTAATACTTGACAATCACGCCAGTCATACTTCTTTGATGATTTATGATTTTTGTAAACAAAATAATATACATATGCTGTCACTGCCTCCACATACATCCCACAGGATGCAGCCATTAGATCTCACATTTTTTGGCTATTTGGCTATTTGCAAAAACGAGTGCGATTTATTTTAAAAAAAATCGCCTTGCAAAGAAAATAACTCCATACATTAAATAGAGCAAAAATTATGACATCAACACTCGTCAAAGGTAGCCTTGTTGAAAAATAAAATAAGAAAGCAATCTAGAGCAGCAAAAGGTAAAAACCTTATGCCGAAGGCTAGCAAGAAGCAGAAACCTAAGAAACATATTGCAAATAAGGCCGTACTTCAAAATCTAAACAATTCTTCAGAATCAGATATTAGTCATAATCAAATATGTGACGATGATGAAGACGACGATTTGAAAAAATGTTTGGTATGTGATGAATTTGGTCGCAACAATGAGTTATGGTACAGATGCACTTCTTCCGGCTTATGGGCACACTAGTTGCACAGGATGGGACTCGCCAATGTGACAATTGTTAGGCTAGGCTGACTCTCGTTGTTCTCATAGTGACTATAATTACCCTCAGATATGGACAATGGTAGTCAAAGATGTTTTTTTTAAGTTTAATGTTAATTAATATATGATTCCAAAGGTAATGAAACTGTCTGAGAGTGATAGTGTAATGATTAAAATACTTTAAAAGATAAAGATAAAGTAAAATTGTGTGTTTTATTCTATATCCTACTGAAGTGACTCCCATTACCCCTTTTCCCTGACTCAATGTACAAAAATGCTCAACTTTGACAGTATGTCAATTCACCAATTGCAAGAATGATGAAGTCCTCATGAGTTCCAACCTGAGATATCACACGATTCCTCATTCCAATAAAAAAATTGTTTCAAGACGGCACCCAGCCGACATCTTGAAATTGGTAACTGCCACTTTGAAGTATCCATGCATCAATTCCATCACCTTGAAATTCAACTTGCTCACTTGACCCGTTCAAGAAAATAAGAAGCTTTTTGAAAAGCACTGTATATCCGAGTTATACACACATTTGTCGATATGCCCACAATTCAGATGATTATAATTTTTATGATCGCATCTGTGAGTGTCCAAGTTTGTTCTTCATACATCACAGAGCATCTAAGAATTCTTATGCAAAGCTCCATGTTGAGATCGTACCCACAGAGAAATATGGACATTTCTCTGCAATCTTTTATAGTTTTGTCTTCAGCAGGCGACCGCAAAATTTGATTTTTTCAAAACATCACTTCTGCAGATTTCCATTTACCAGGGTAGTACAGGAGAAATAGGAACATTGCAAATTATAGATTATGGCACTACACAACAAGGTGCGAAAAATAGTCAAATAATGGGCAAGGCAGCATCACAAGGAATATTAGAACTTTGTGTTGCATGCAGGCATTGGGAAGGGTTTTCCTTGGGAAACTGCTCTCTATGAGCGGAAATCAACATTAACACATCAAGGACTCTAGAAATCTGAAAGGATAAAATTAAGCTTAATACATAAATAGGCATCAATTTTTCTGTACAGTTGCTTTTTTAGACAGAAAATTCACATTTATAGGGAAGCTATAAGTGCTTCTTTATTTTCTTCATGACTCCTTCGCTGTCTGTGCTTTGTATCATTATTGCTTTTTCATTTTCATTTAATTAAATGAGTGATCAAAGAAAGTGACCCGCTAAGTAAGTTGAGCAGTGTATATTTGATCGGACACAAAATGTACGAATTTCTGATCGCTACATAATAAACCTCAGACAAAACTGCCCAATTAATATATTGTCATACAATACACGATCCCATTCACATACGGATCAGGTTACATGCTCGAAATGCCATAAATTTGATTCTGAATTACCACGAGAGACACGAATGTGTACCTTCATGTTATTTGGAAGACATTTATTTTTGTATCCAGGATTCTCTGAATAAAATGATATTTCCTGGTTCCGCAATTATCTAGCAACTGCCTGCAATTATTTTGACGTTCAGGTAATTGTCTTAAAATGAACGTTTGTTTCTATTTTCTGGTCGTCGACGATGCGTGCATCAGGCAGGTGTGAAGCAAAATACGAATTAAATTTTGGGGCAAAAAATGCAACAATAAGAAGATGTATGATTTAAGTTCAGCCTTGACGTATAAGTAAGACCCCAGCAAAGAAAGTATTATGCTACTATTACATGGATGTTAATGTATATAGAATTGAGGGAAATATCTGATGGTTGATTCTATACTTATCCATCTTCAAAAAATGTTGTTCAACCTGTTTGTAGGTTCTACCTATCTAGTACATAGATAACAAAAAAAAATACGATGCCAATTTTCCACTTAAACTGGAAGGAGATACAGTCATAGTGTAAAGCGATGAAAAATGATTGAGAGCTTAGTTTTATACAAAAACGGACTCTAAAAAAAATACCAATGTCCTGAAATTCTAAAAATTTATGGCAGCACCAGCATATATTGCAGGAGTTGCCTTTAGAGTGAATTAATTGAGGTCTTATCACTCCTTCCTATGGAGATCCTTAATTTAATCTATTTATTAGAAATTTACACCTTGTCAAATCTCCTACAACTGCTACACCTATAAAAGATCAACTAACATTCTAAATAGTTTGTTAGCATATATTTTGATGATTTAGATACCATAAAATTCATTTTCCTTGAAGAAAGTTTATTGTCTCTCATGGAAATGTTTACATATACAATAAGAATACCAGTATTATAGTATATTTGATGATTCTAAAACGTTTACGTAAAGAAAGCATCTGGTAGAGATTAATTAAGTTCTGTTGCTAATTTTCACCTGCCGAGCTTGCAGAATAATCCCTTAGGAAAATATAGACACCCGCTAAGAAGTGGGTGGTTATAAGTGCACAATTGTACACATGTAAGCAATCTTTTGAACATGCGGGACTGTCGCTAAGTATAGACAGGGTAGATCTGTCTAAACCAGAAGAAAGAGTTCTTGTATTTTTTTTCTGCAGAAGCAGTTGCGTAGACGGAAGCATAAATACCATAATATCGCGGCTGCTATAGGGACCTGAGAGACTCTGTTATTACGATTTTTGCCTGCTTAAGGTAAAATTGGAAAAAGCCTCCTCAGGCAGATTGTTTCACAATCTCTATACCATAGACCACAGCCAGGCGGGTCTGTCTGGCAGGCTCATCGTACGGTGGCATCATGAAGGAGAACTTTGAGGAGCAAATCACATGTGTTCGCGCTTCTTGTTAGTCAAGGTGCAGTGCCTGTATTTTGAAAGGATTGAACTACTATATTATTGCGTCCCCAAGCAGTAATAACATTCAGGTCTCATGTCAAACAGAAAGTCGCTGCAAGCCTTCTTCTCCAGCTTACCGGCAGAGATCGGCTTGCCACTCTGAATTATTGAATGTAGAGTGCTGTCATCAGCAAAGCCGTGAGTCGGAATGACCATAGAGAAAAGGAGGTCATTAATATGTAAGAGAAACAGTGACTGCGCTAAGACCGATCCCTGGAAAACAGCCACGTTGATATTATGGACTGAAGAGGAAAATTCTTCAATTACGACGAATATCTTGCGGCTCGACACGAAGCCAGCCACCTATTGACAAAGCTTCTTTGAGAGGTAGTAGAATGCACACTTGCATAATAGGCCACAGCTGATCGAATGGTTTTATGATATCAAGAGCAACGATGTTGTTCCGTTGTAGAATCGGCATTCCACAACCAGTTGACCGCTCTAGTTCCAGGAACAAAAGAACAATCGGTCTATGGAGGCGAAGACCCAGCTTTCATTTGATGGCAAAACAGGTCTTCGTGAAGAGATCTTTCCAACCAGAGCTTCTGAGAGCTCTGAACATTTTTTACAGTGTGCTGTTCAATTTATTTACGTAGCTAGGTAGCATTACTGATAGTCGGAAACTACTTGGTGGTATGAGCCTAGGCGCTATTGAAGATCATAGATTGAATAACCGTGGGTACTTGCCCGATGAAAAGTCTGGAGGGTCAGGTACATTTTCTAAGTCAGTGAGGGAGACTTGAAGCAATGCAAGGACATTTTCTATCCCACTGCAAAGTTCCGAGGCAATCTTAGAAAAAGCCAAAGTGATCGGATGATGCAAGTTTGTGTCGCTATTATAGCCCAGAATTGCTAATTCTTATTTTTTAGTAGCTCTTATGATTTTATTCGATTGAGATATAAGAGATTCGATCAGATGTGAGAAAATCTAAGGATTTTCACGGAAATCTTAAGCTTTTCGAGCAGATTCAAAGGAATCTTGGCGAAGATCTCTTGTTCCATAAAATTGTTAGTGTTTGCTCTTCTGCCAACTTGAAGAAAAAATTAATCATTGGAATAATATCGGACTATTGGTGTATCTCTTCCTGTTTAAAGTTCAGTCCTAATGGAAAATGTAGGCAATCTTCAGTAATTTCTATGTCTTATTACAAACGCAATGCTCTCTTATGTTTGATATACTAGTTCCTCGTAGTTTTAGTGAGATGAGTTTTTTCGGACCATTTTATCCGACTACCGAAAAACATATGAGAGCCACCCTATAACGTCAAGAAAGGATAGCCAATAATGTTGGACGTTAGTCTTCCTGGACGTAACTATGAATTGCAGTATACGGGCATATTATGTTCACATGCTTAGAAATGTGTAAAAGGTTACGCAGAATTCCTGGGATATTTCAGTTGCCTTACTGTATGCGCAAGTATATCTATGGGAATACTGGTATCATTACCAACGGTTTATATTAGCAGACGGATATGTCAAGTTTTGCAGGGTGGCAATAAACGAAAAATGCATATTCAAATAATCCTTACCAGTATGGGGCATCTTCAAATGAGACCAAGTATCTGAAACAAAAATTATTGTGTGATTAGTGATAAAATATAAGCAATAGGAATATTTTGCAATTGGTGACCTTTGAATTTTGCATTTTAGATTGGCATCATATGTTTCAGAAGTATCAGTTTTTATAGAGAAATTGCTTTATAGACGGATATTTCAAACATTAAGGACGGAAAGCACCAATCAAATTAATTCCAGAATATTTTGTTGAAAGTATATACAGGGTGTCCCAGAAGTCGACGTCAAGCCGAAACCGGGTGATAGGCAAAGTCATAACAGCTATCAGAAAAATATTTCAAAAAATGTTATGTATGTGTTTTGAAAATTATAGGTCTTTGAAGAAGATATAGAAATTTCACACCCTACGGCAGTCTGTCAACTCCTGTTACTACAAATATTAACTTTTTTGGATTTTATTTTTACAATGTAACGATGAATAATGCATCTTCAAACTGGTGTCTCAACCTTACTGTCAACTTTTCTCGTTCAGGAAAAATTGCCACTTATTTCCCAACCAAGTATTCCAAAGTAAAACTTTGCTCAACTTTAACTGGCTGTTCTGGAAAAAAATGTACTACGAGAGTTTGACAAGTAACCTTAAAAGTTGGCGCATTTAATAAGGATTCCAAAATGGTATAACTCTTAGAAGATTACTCGTTAACTTATGCACAATTTTTATTTGAAAAAAAAGTGATGAAAATTTTTCAAAAATTCCTAATTAAACAGCGATTGTGAAAACGCACAAGGACCCTTAAGGATAACTGTTTGCACAACAGTGGGCGTCAAAATGCTGCTGACGATGATTTACCTTTACAGCAAATGCTCAAACTGTTTTCCTTCAGCCGCAATACACGCTCGACATCTTCTTAAAAAAGATCGGGTTATTCAACGAGCGAATCCACGGTTATCAACAAACTCAGCTGCTTCCAATAGTCTTTGCCGAAGGTCAGCTACATTTTGAATCGGCTTGAAATACACTTTTTCTTTTACAGTTCTCCAGTAAAAAAATCTAAAGGATTCAAATCAGGTGATCGGGCTGGCCACGGTATTCTACCAGACCGCCTTATCCATCTGCCTGGAAAGTTTTGATCGAGACACTTTCTCACTGAGAGTGCATATTGCGCTGGGCAGCCATCATGCTCAAACCACATGTCCCTGTAAATACTCAGTGGCACGTCCACCAATAAATTTTGTACATGATTTTTCAAAAAATCCAAATAAACTTCAGCAGTCAAAGTCTCTGGGAACTCAAACGGATCGATTATTTTACCATTTAAAATTCCAGTCCAATGGTTTATCTTGAAGCGATATTGAGATTTATCTTCTCTCATCAAATGTGGGTTTGCTACGTGCCACTCGTGTAAGTTATGCAGGTTCATGTACCCATCTTTCTTAAATGAGGTCTCATCTGACCATAACATTTTTTCAAAGAACTGGGGATCTTTCCTGTGTCTTTCTAACATTGTGCGACAAAAAGCAACTCGGGGCTCATGATCCCGGGGCAGGAGAGGTTGAACACGCTGTATGTGGTATGGATGAAGCACATCACTTACTTGCTATTGCACACTTTGATACCGATCAGTACTCCTTCATTTACTGCGTATCTTTACATGTTCGTGCTTGTTGATTTCGTACTGTTACTAATTTTGGATTCGTGAACTGGACTGTTGATCGCTTGTGATTTGGGTTTGGACTGTTTAATTGCTCTTCAAAACAACATTTGCTTTCCTTAGACTATCTTTGATAGTGTGATTGTGCAGTGCCGCTTTGTCCGTGTACACCGTACAAGAATATGCTAACATGCACCTCATTTATGGAGAATGCAGATGCAACGCTAGTGTTGCAGCGAGACTTTACTGTGAGAGGTACCCGAATGCAGCTCGTCATCCAGATCATCGAGTGTTCACAAATGTGCACCGCTTACCGTTCTCAGAGGGCCAACTACCAAACCAATCACACGGTGAGGGAAGATCTTTCCTTCCTTACGAAGACGTGGTGCTAGGAGCTGTCGAAGAAGTCGCGAGTACTTCAGTGCGTGCAATATAACTAAAAACAGGTGTGCCCAAAAGTACAGCCCATAGAATCTTGCAAAAAAACGTGCTCCATCCATACCACGTACAGCGTGTTCAAGCTCTTCTGCCCCGGGATTATGAGCCCCGAGTTGCTTTTTGTCGCACAATGTTAGAAAGACACAGGGAAGATCCACGGTTCTTTGAAAAAATTTTATGGTCAGATGAGACCACATTTAAGAAAGATGGGTACATGAACCTGCATAACTTACACGAGTGGCACGTAGCAAACCCACATTTGATGAGAGAAGATAAATCTCAATATCGCTTCAAGATAAACCATTGGACAGGAATTTTAAATGGTAGAATAATCGGTCCGCTTGAGTTCCCAGAGACTTTGACTGCTGAGGTTTATTTAGGTTTTTTGCAACATCATTTAGAAAATTTATTGGAGGACGTGCCACTGAGTATTTACAGGGACATTTGGTTTCAGCATGATGGCTGCCCAGCGCACTATGCACTCTCAGTGAGAGAGTATCTCGATCAAAACTTTCCAGGCAGATGGATAGGGCGGTCTGGTACAATATCGTGGCCAGCCCGGTCACCAGATTTGAATCCGTTAGATTTTTTTACTGGGAAACTGTAAAAGAAAAAGTGTATTTCAAGCCGATTCAAAATGTAGCTGAGCTACGGCAAAGACTATTGGAAGCAGCTTGTTTGAGCATTTGCTGTAATGGTAAATCATCATCAGCAGCATTTTGACGCCCACTGTTGTGTTAACAGTTATCCTTAAGGGTCCTTGTGCGTTTTCATAATCGCTGTTTAATTGGGAAATTTTGAAAAATTTTCATCAGTTTTTCTTCAAATATAAATTGTGCATAAGTTAACGAGTAATCTTCTAAGAGTTATACCATTTTGGAATCCTTATTAAATGCGCCAACTTTTAAGGTTACTTGTCAAACTCTCGTAGTACATTTTTTTCCAGTACAGCCAGTTAAAGTTGAGCAAAGTTTTACTTTGGAATACTTGGTTGGGAAATAAATGGCAATTTTTCCTGAACGAGAAAAGTTTGCAGTAAGGTTGAGACACCAGTTTGAAGATGCATTATTCATCGTTTCATTGTAAAAATAAAATCCAAAAAAGTTAATATTTGTAGTAACAGGAGCTGACAGACTGCCGTAGGGTGTGAAATTTCTATATCTTCTTCAAAGACCTATAATTTTCAAAACACATACATAACATTTTTTTAAATATTTTTCTGATAGCTGTTATGACTTTGCCTATCACCCGGTTTCGGCTTGACGTCGACTTCTGGGACACCCTGTAGATCTGGCAGCTTCAGGTGTTCTATTTAGGAAGGGTGATATGATGTTTTCAATACTGAAGCTGCAAAGCTTTACTAAGTTTATATACCTAACAGCTAAAGTTACATATTTTTAGCCATAAGTTTCAGCAATAAAATGATTTAATTTCGAATTTTCTTGGTTGGTAGTTTCCTGAGTAGTAAAATTAGAGCACGAAATGCGAAGTGCTGCGAGTCTAACGCGCCAGGGGTTATAAATACTTACTATGCCCGAGATATGCACAAAAATTTTATCTAAGATGCGCTATAGAGTAAGTAGAAAACTTAAAGTAGCCTTGAGGTGACCATAAAAATTATCAAATTACCATAATAGAGGGTGGATACGGTTTAAATTCTTCAAAACTACTTGTTTGTGCTTTACGCATGGGGTATTATCTGTGAAACACGCAAGTTGTAGAAATTTTCACATATTCATGCTCTTTCTACATTATTTTAAATAACTTTCCGCAAGATTTCGAGTATTATGACTTATTCATATATCCCCGAAGGAAGAACTTAAGCTTAAGTACGGTATAGTTTAATCCCAGTGAAACTAGACTCTTCTGGAACCTCAATCGATAGCCAGCACTCTGTATCATCTTCCAGCACTACTTAGGTCTGAAACTACTATACAGTACTGAGTACTGATTACTCATTGCCTGAAATTTGTAGTTGGCTTATTCTTGATTCTGAGAGTGTCCAAGCATTAACTGAAGTAGCGACGATAACACGTCGAGGTGATTCAACAGATCCTGGACAATAAAACGTGTTTAATTCGCTGCTTCATATCAAATTATCCAAGCCTTTGAATGGTCGATGAGCATAGGAAAATTTAAATATTGCGGAGGTGAAGGCTAAAATTACTTTTCCATCCTAGGACATGAGGCCTTTGGGATTAATAATATTATTTAGCGCCCGGAATTCCCATTCATAAAATACAATTTCCTGCTAGGTGCTAAATAAAAGGATCAAATACTTCTTTTTGCTATCCTGTTCAGCAGATTAACATTATCAATAAAGATCGACGAATATGATTATTGTTTAGTTATTTCTAGTTTACAGTATTCTTATGCTGTCAAGCTACACGTCATGCCCTGGCCCACAACATAATGCACATCAAGTGTGCCTCAAGAGAACAATGATAAATATAAATGTATATCTCTATCATGGTTTGCATTTGGTCCCATTTTACGTAGCACCTGTGAACACTTAAACAAATCCAATATAGTATATACAGGGTGCGGCATAGAGGGTGGACGGTTTTAAAAAAATCATAAAATAGTTAATTTTTACTCGAAAACAAACTTATTGATGGAATCAGGTTCACAAGGAAATAGCATTTGAGACAGTCAAGTGTGGAAAATCACATCAGGCATGTGGTGGCCGAAATCGTTGATGCAGTGCTGGAGGCGTTCTTGGAAGTTCGCGTAGACTCTCTCCAACATCGCTGTTTCAACTTGGGCGACTTCAACGCGAATTTCGCCGTTCAATTCGTCTAGAGTTCGGGGCTTGTTCGCGTATACTCTAGCCTTGAGGTCTCCCCATAAGAAAAAATCGCATATGGATAAATCTGGGGACCGAAGAGGCCAATGAACATCTCAGTGCGAAGTTCATTCGTTGTGCATAATCTCCAGGTTGTAACTGTTGCACAATG